GTTTCCTTTTACTTTTTAACGTGTGACTGAGGATTTTTAAATTCACATTTGGCTCACATTTGTGTTACATTCCGAGTGGACAGTGCCATTCTAAATACTGAGGAACTTGCGTGTGTTGCTTGGTGTGCGACAGCTGAATAGCCCCCATCCCCAGCAGTGCTGCCACAGAGAGTGGGGGTGCCCCGTGACAACGCAGCCCGTTTGGAGCACGTGCACCTGCAGTCCTCCCCACGCTGTGTCTCTTCCCTAGTCCCTCAAATGACTCTGTCTTGTAGCTGCCCTTTAAAACCTCCTGCCTGTGCCTTTGCTCCTTGGCACATGCCTGAAGACTTCTCTCCAGTGGTGACTTTTCTCTCTCTGTTTCATTGGAACCCCCCACCTAGGCCCCTCACCTCCCCAATCGTCTTAATCTTGAATGACAAAACTGAGGGCAGTTCAGTGAGAAAACTAAATCAGAGGAATGGAAGACGTTGAGGTCTAAAGTTAGATCAGAGATAGCAAGGAAGCAGTGCCGTTCACTGCTCTAACTTTGGAGGGACATAGGCTTTCGTTCAGACCGTGGACAAAGCTGACAAACTCTTTTGATCTCTATTTCTTGAGCCTTGGTTGATGTCAGATGATATCAGTGCTCATCAAAGCTTGAGGATGTTTTGAGCTGATAAATTCGTCAAGTGCTGCCTGGGAGAGGGTAGTGAGATCTGTCTAATTCTGGAGTCCAACATTAGAAAGTCCACCTGCCCATCTATTTCATGTATGAACATATACATACATATGGAAAACATATATGGACATATATGGAATATGTGTATATTCTAATAGCATTTTTATTGGTAATAAAGGTGCTATTTTAGTTCGGCATATGCCTTACTATTCACTTGCTCACGTCTTGTTTGTTTCCACTCTCAGAGGAGGAAGAGAAGCCAATAATGTGCTTAAAATAATGAAACAATGCTCTAAAAATTCTACAAGGAAATGTTTTCCATGTATACTTTTATCCTTAGTCAAAATACCCATCAATGTGGATGCAGATGAGGACGTTCACACCCATGCTAAGGTTTAAAGATTTTCCTCCAAAGTGACATTTTAAGAAAGCTATTTGTGGCAGAACTAAGGGAAAGAAGACACCGGATTTAGGAATCGTTTACAGATTGAGTTGACTACTACAGGAGGTCTCCAAGGTACTGGCTGTGGAACAGCCCTGCAAAGCATCCCGGAACCCTCTGGGGAGGGTTCACAGAGAGGCAGGTGGTAGGTTTGGGGGACACTAGGGAGGGGGATGCTGACAAGGTGGTAAAGGGACAACGTGCTGGGGAAGGGACAGCTGGAAACTGCAGGAACAACAGAAATATGATCGCATTTTGAATATTGAGTAATCCAGTCTAAGTTAGACAAATAAGTCCATGGACTTCAGACAGAGAGAGGCATAGAGTTAATTCATAGCAAGAATTCAAATAGTTAAACAGGAGAAGATACCTGGATTATTGTGATGAATGCATAGTTTTATTAACTGACAAAGGAAAGATAAGGATAATTCAAAATTTTAGGACAAATAGAAGACAATCGTGAAAAAGATGGGCCAGTCTTTTCACCAGTCTGGTTTTCCTTCTTCCTGAGTCAACGAGGCTTCCATTCCCTGGCTCTGTTTGCAGTGAAATGCGGCCTCACTGCCGAGCCCTAACTAAAGGCGCCCACGTGCAGGGGAAGGAAGAGCACCATGTGCAGAGGACCTGCCTGGAACAACCCGACTCCTTTCCTTCCTCTGCTGACCAGGTGGAGCAGCCTGGCGACCTTGATGGAGACCCAGAGGCAGAAGATGGCAATCTCCAAGTCGCCGCTGCTCCCAGAGGAAGACTCATTCTGGATTTAATAGGAGCAAACTGTATCTGTGCTTGAGCCCATTAACATTACAGGAACAAAACAAGCAGGACAAGAATGTGCTGGTCCAAATGTGGAACAAATGTAACTAGGACTTCATTATGAATAACTGAGGCAAGGAAAGAGTGGCATGAGGGATCGTGAGCGTGGACTCACAGGAGAGGAAGGCTAATGACAGGCACACACGTGGCTCTGCGGTGAGCAATCCTTACAGTTATCACAACGGGAATGTTCATTACTTTTCAACTTTTATAAGCAGCCTTTAGACAAATTAAGGGGGACTTCATTAGGATTACAGGATAAAATATAAATGCCAGCAGCTCTGATATTACAGAAGCGCTATCGCTGCCGAGAGAACGCAGAGAGGCGAGGGGCAGGAGGCGTGCTGGAAAGAGGAGAGCAAGGACATTCACGTCTCACAAAGCGGAAAGGCAAGAGATGGCGCCAGAAAGGAAATAAATAAGGCGTAAAGAATCAAATGCATCATGTGAATTTATAAAGATAATGTATCAAAATCCAAATCATATTGGCAGAAGCAAACCATGGGAAGTGGAAGTGATGCAATAAAGTAATACTCATAGCAATATATCAATTCAGAAAGTTTAAAATCGATAAAGCAAAAAGAATAATATAAACAGATATAAGACAAGAAAGACAAAAAACCTAAAGATGGTTAAATTTTATTGCGTCTGTGGCATAAGAGTGTGCATGCTACAATGGAATGCTGCTTTCTACAGTAAGACTTTCTGTATTCTTAAATTTTTTAACCACGTGCATATGTTACCTAGATTTTTAAAAGTTTACAAAAGTAGATGACAGAATCGAAACCACAGCTGACCTGTGGTAATGTCCACGTCAGAAATTTAAGACTTTGTCAATTCGAGACTTTATTTTCTTACCTTTATTGCAGAAACAATCATAGTCTGTTGCCTACTTATTTGAGGTTATTTGAGGTACTAACAGGATCATGCATTTATGGGCTTCAGCTATTTACAAACTAATGTTTAAACGTGACTTTTGGACGCCTTTCTGTGGTGGCCCATGTGAGTCGTGCATGTGATGGTAGCTACCATAGGCCACTCTGTGAAGTGCAGCACACATGAAAATAAGTTATGGACGACAGCTTGTAATTGGGAACCTCCAGAGCTGTGACTTTAGGGATCTCAGCTCCACAAAGCTGCTAAAAGTTACTTTCTAAAGTACAGTTTGCAAAAACAAAATGTTCCATTGTAGAAAGAATAAAGTCCTGTAAGCAGGTGATGTTCAGGTAAGACGGAGCATGAATCTCTGGCTGGAGTTGGCTCGTGTTGGGGTAGCCTGGCTGAGATCTAGACATGGAGTCCATTTAACAAACTAGAAGCCAGTCCGGGTGAGATGGAAAAAAAAATAACTGGAATATTAGAGTGGGAGTAGAAACGGAGCTAAGTGAGAGGCAATTTGAAATGAAAAAAAAAAAAAAAATGGCATGGCATTGCTTGAGACCTAAAGGATTCAAGAAATGATGGGGAGAGCAATGCCAGAGTCACTTCGATTTTACCCAGAGTGAGTGGAACATAATGGAAACGATGGTAGAAATAAGGAAGAAGAAGAAAGGACATATTTAGGATGTAGCAAGTAGCAATGTCCTTAAGTAAGACCAATTAGTTTAGAGAAATCCACAAAAAGCCAATGAATTGGGACATTTGTGTAAATTTGGAGGACATCACTGTTTTGACAATAGCAAGATGGATAATAATTAATAGCAATGAGAAAAAATGAAGAGGGATATAATAGACCTCAGAAACATGCAGAGCAAATGAGCATCTCGGGAGGAATAATGGAGATTTGGAGTAGGAAATAGTCACCATGGAATTTCTCTGGGATAGAGGAATAACTGGAAGGTGGTAAATTCCAACTCAGACATCTACTAGCTGGAACACCCTGGGCAAATCACTTTTCCTATCTAACTCTCATATCCCTCATCTACAAAATGAATCTTTGATGAGATACTTACTTGTGAAGATTAAATTTGATAGAGTATTATTTGACCCATAATAAGTACCCAATACGTATTAGCTTGTAGTAATAGCAGTAGTAATAATAACATGCCATCACACCATTAATAAAGCAATTAGCATCAGGGAGTTCTCATAAGACTATAACATTTAGCAGAAAAATGAATTAAAAATAGGCAAGTACTCATTAAACAGCATAGGTTGAAATGCAAGTGTAGTGATCAAAATAAGACGATGCCCTGCAGTTGAGGCTGTAAATTGGTAGTTATAAGCATGGATTAAATGTCAGAGTTGGGTTTGAGTCTCACCTCATCATATACTATCTCTGGTACCTTTTGAAAATTAAAGTTCTGTTTCTGTATCTTTTAAATGAGTGTGTATAATCATGACATCAGCCAGTTGTTGTGAGAGTTAAATGATACGATTCAGGTGACGTGCTCAGAACATTTTCCGGCATTTCATTAAGACCTCAATAAATGTGAGCTATGCTTTTAATTTCGAACCCACACAATGAGGTTTTCTTAGGAAGTCAAAATCTAAGAGTCGAGTATGCTCTTTCCTAAAGTCATTGAAACAGTAAACTAATTTCATCAGAAAGTGTAAAAATCGCAGGGCTTCAGGTGAAGTAGTTCTAATCTCGCACTGAATCATGATGATGAACACTCGGCAGAGGGCACCTGTTCACGATCACTGCATTTCAGAAGCCTAAGAATGTTGAAAGTGTTCTTAAAAAATAAACATGTAACTATCATGGGTTGTTTGTCATTTTTAACAAGGATAAAAAAGGAACAATCAAAGCATGAGGACACACACATCTACTTCAAATCTATGACAAGAGGTGATCAAAACAGGCAGAAGTCCATAAAGTTTGTGAAATAGAATGAAGAAAATTTTGAATATTTGGGGACATAATAACAAACCGTAAACTTGTCACTCACTTCTCAGGGTCCAATCATGGTTTCTCACGTAAAGTATAACATTAGTTTGGGGAACAGAGTGAGCTGGCACAATAAGACCCAGCCGAATCTCTCTTTTCATTTCGATGGAAGCTTTTATTAACATAAGATCAGCTCCAAAGCTGCTGTCTTAGTGTGGGTGGCAGTTCGCAAGCACACACAGGCGGGACGGTACCTCTGCAAAAAGGGGCTGGGAAGTCCCACGACGCGCCATTCCCGGGGCTGACGATGCAGGTCAGGATCGCGTGACCTTCCAGGATGTAGCCGGAGAGACAGCTGTATCGGATTTTGTCTCCTATGTTGAATCTCGTTCCGTGCAGTACTCCTTTTAATATTTCTCCAGGGTTTCCACATGTGTGGCTAGGTAAGACTGTCGGAAGGAGAAAAGGAAGGAGGGAAAAAAAGTTAAATTTTCCATTGAGATACATTTATATCACAAAACAAGCACCACTTTTTGAACTATAAAAATTAGGGAATCTGTAGCATAGATATTCTTTTTAATTGCACCTAAAAACTAGACTGAGAAAACATTTAAAAAAATGTTTATAGTATATTAAAAGTGACACTTTAAAGGTAGGAAACATGGCAATTCTATGTGGGGGAGCCCTTCAGTTTGCAACTCAGGAAGCTTTCTCAATCGAATTATTTTATAATTTTGCCTGTAAGCTGAAGGCCCTTACAGTCAGACACAGGCTGAAGATCCACAATGAACCGTTATCAAAGAACCGTTAGTGACGATCCTTATTAGAAGGCATAATTCACTAGTTGACTGTGTCTAGATAAGTTGTTTCCCCAAAGACAAGAGTTATCAATGTAAATCTATCAAAGAAACCTGCTAAAGGTAACTGCCACACATAATAACTGCCACAGTGAAAAATCCAAATGAGCCATTTGAAAATTTAACGTAGCCCGTACAACTTTTCTGTGCATTTTTCTGTTAAAAACAAGAGAATACTTTTTAATTAACTTTAGCATGGATAATATAATTGACTCTTGTGCAGAAAGATCAACATCACAAGATTAAACATTAACATACATTCACATGCTGCATAATGACATCTCTGTCAAAGATGAACCTCGTAGGTGATAAGGTTCCACGAGATTATAATAGTGCTGACAAACTCCTAGTGCCCAGTGACGTGGTGGCTGCCACAATACTGTAGCACGAGGCATCACGCAAGCGTTTGTGGAGATGCCGGTGTTAACAGACCTGAGCTGCCCGTCATGTGAAAGTCTTGCACACACAATCGTATGCAGTTCATGACACTTGATGATAAAAAACTACGATGTTAGCAGTTTATGTATTTACTGTGCTGTACTTTGTATCATCATTTTAGAATGTGTTCTTTCTACATATAAAAAGAAAGTTAACTGTAAAACAGCCTCCGGCAGGTCCTCCAGCAGCATGCCAGGAGACGGCAGCTCCACGCACGGTACTGCCCTGAAGGCCTCCAGGGGGACCAGATGTGGCGCTGGAAGGCAGTGA